GCGTGGGGGAGGGGGAGGCTGAGAAAACTGTAGCTTAAATGTGTGCCTCTGCGTTTCCTGTAATGACCTGCAATAGCAGCAGAAGTTGGATGAGCTTTAACTTGAATTCCAGGGAGGGAATGAGGAGTTTTCTCTATTAAGCATATGGCTCTTACAACATTGGCGTTTACTCCTGATGGTAGGACGAAACACCAAAAAATAAACACTAAACTATTACTGAGACCCTTCGGATCGGATCTAAAGCTAAACTTATCTCGAAATCCTTCGGAACGGCTACGGAACTCGAGTGCCAAGAAACACTCTGCTGCTGACTTAGGCCTAGTTCAAACGTAGATCTTTACATGTACCGAACCTAACGTTTCTATTAAGTACATGTAAAGATCGACGTTTGAATCAATTAGGATCGGCAGATTTGTATTCAGATCGACAGTGCCGTTCTATCCGACTCGGCTAGTCGGATAGAACGGTAAAAGATCGGCATTGATTCATACGTCGTACTTTACATGTACCGAACTTAATGCATACATTATACATACGTTAAAATAATTATGTTTTACCCACAATTCAAGAAAGTTCGCTTACGTGCCATGCGCGAAAGCCTTCGAACCATTCAAACAATATGGCGGGAAAGGAGGAAGGCTCGTGCTCCTCTTGTTTTAAAACCACAAAATATACCTGTCTTACGTGTAAGGAGTACTTTTGTATGCCATGTTCGGTGTTTGAAATAAGCAATAATAGAAGGCAAGCCAAATTCAAAACTCGTCTTCTCCTGGCAGGAAGGTTGTTTAATGCTAACTGCATCTTGAGTCGCCTTTTTCTACCCTCCTTAATCGCATTTGCAAGAAAAACAAGCTCTTCATTTCCACAAGTTGTGCTTCCCGCATTTTTTTCCGCCATTTTGGTAGGCATTAACCGCTGACTACAATAGAGTTATGTTCAGTTTTGCAATTAGGATCGACTAAATTCGGATCGACGTTTGAATCAACTGCCGCTCTTAATTATTCGAGTCGACCCAAATTGCAATTAGGTTCGGTACATGTAAAGATCGACGTTTGAACTAGGCCTTATACAACACTTTACAATAACTACTACTTGCGGCAAAAGATATTTCGGCGAAGAGTGTCACTAGCTCGCATACGTTACGTGACAACAACAAAAGTTATTACGCAAGTGTCTTTGTTCGGTTTTTTTTACAAGTTCTTGAACGACTTCCGCACAATCTTTTTTTGTGATCAAAGTCTTTTCGACACCTTAATACACCCACAATTTGCAAAGCAGTCAATAGAGAGCAGCTAATTATCACCCTGGTTAATGTTCCTGAAGCCAGATTATGTTATAATTGAAAATAGGTGAGGGTGAATTTGGAATCAGAAAGAATGCATCTTATGAGACGTCATGCTTGTGCAGTGTCGCTAAGTATCTTTGCAAGTTGTATCGTAGTTTGACGAGCCTGCAAGGCGAGTAAAAATACAAACAAGGTGTGAAAAACACAGCAATACTTTACATCAAAACTGGTAAGAAGATATTTGTTATCGCGCACGTAATCTCGTCCAATAAAAAAAAACGCTAATTGGGGAAAAACCCATTGTTATTACGTATCATATTTTTTCACTACAACAAATAAATTTCGCGACAACAATAAGCATCATGCCCGAAACTATCATTGTCTTTCAGAAACACCAGTGAGGGGAAAAATTTCACTGAGCATCGGGAAACAGAAAACGACAGAGTTATTAGTGAGTGTTAGAATAGAAACCGATTGCATTAAATTATTCGATTATTACTAGTTTCAATAGTTTCGTGTAATGATTTGATGCGAGTGAAAGAAGATGAAATGAGATTGAAAATAAATGAAAAATAAAACGTCAGGGAGTGGATAAGTTTTTGCAATTGGTGACTCAGTCAGAATAAAACGCTTTGCATTGAAGTCATGATATAATCGAAAACTGCTGGAATCAAAGTTACAGAACGAAGACAATTCAAAAAAGGAATTAAATTTTACAAGCTTTTCATGCCACTATCGAGGGAGACTTTTTGTAAATATCGAGGTAACACGCATGGTGCAAATCTCAAAATCGATTTTTGTCAGTGTAAGAAACCCTTCGAACTTCAGTTAGTTTTTGCACATTTTATCATACTTTACCAGCCTTTTGCTGAAGCAAGGAGTGAGCTATTTCGCCTTGATTTGAATCAAAGACTCAGGCGATCGTAGTGTTTGGTGATCAGTAATTTTGCTAGTAAAAGCGCCAATAGATAATTGTAACATATGGAGGCCAAGTGTAATCAACAGTGGCGATCATATATAGCGATCACATGTATCCAAAACAATTGCAGTATTTACTTTATGGCTTTGTGTATTCCAGAAGATCCTTTTGTTCTTGTTGGAGAGGAATTATAGCACAACGTAGGCTGGCCAACACGTGCCATTAAAAAAGAGAGAGAAGTGATCTTTAAGACAGAAATGAACACAAGAGCCACTTGAGATAACAATAAATAATATATCATGGGAAACAAAGATGGGTCTTTTAACCATAAAGTTTACCATATTGGATGTTTTCCTTAGGCTGGGAAGATGTGAATTGATCATATCCAATGAGCTCTACAATCCCAGAACGAAAGACGCGAATGTGTTCGGAATATGGGCTTGCTCGAATCACTTCGTCTGATGTTTGGAGTTTTCTCAGTATTAATTTGGATATATCTCATTCAAATTTTTCTTGTCTCAAAGAAAACTTCTTAGTTTTTAAACATTTGAAAGTAATTTGCCAAATTTGTGAGTAAAGCTGCCCTTAATTCACAAATATTCATATGGAGGAGTGGATCTTGTTGAATTTTCCACAAGAAGAAATAAAGAGAATTTTTTGACAAATTTTGTTAAGCTTGAGGAAAATAAATGTGTTAGCTGATTACTCAAGTAATCAGTGTCAGAGCAACAAAATTCTTGGATTTCATTCTTCAGAAACATTAGAATTCGCGCGGTGATCATTTTTAAGACTAGTTTTTCGTGATTCTAATAACCAGGCTCGGGTGATTATTTTGAAGATATGACATAACCATCGACCAACTGGCAGTCACGTAGCTCAACAATCACCTGATCAATTACAATGATTCTGAATATTCTTGCGTGGGTTCCATTTACACTCAGTCATTTAGTTTTTTTTTTTTTTAAATGGAACACGAAAACTGTTCAGCACTCTTGGCTTACTAACCGCCCCCGACAGTTAACATTAATTGTTAGCAGCAATACCACATGGACTTGTTTCCCATTTTAGTGCTTCATCTGGGAAAAGTTGCAAACTTTCCATGAATATTTCTAAAGCACTCGCTTACTTTGTTCATAGATCTTAATACTCAGCAGAAACGAAATCACATTTGCTAAGCTGATAAAAAAAGAGGAATCTAATCTTGCTACTTGTAATGTTAAGAGAACCATTTAGATTTTTATCTTCAGGCAAAGCCAGGTTCTTATTGCTGGTATTGAAGTGTCACATGTTATTTCATTTGATCCTTGAAGTGGTTCTCTTTTGTGTTTGAGCGAGCTTACAGCTTGTAGACACACTGATTGACTGATCGATTGATTGTATTATCAGAAAGTAACAAGGCTAATGATGAGTCCAATTTCAATTAACATGTTTCTTCTTTGAACACTTTTAAATCCTTTTGGAAACGGTGGATTCAAGAGTTATACATTAGATGAGTGTACCATACTTGTATAAAGAGTTTAAACATTTGTCAAAACATCAGATATGAACATGACATTACTCTTAGCGACATTTGTATTCTGTTGAGGTATAAACATAATTTTTTGAAGAAGTTATTAGAGGGAAAGGTGGTTCAACATCTTAAAAACCGATTCTTTGACAGCCGATGTCTGTAAAAAAAAGAGCAAGTTGTTGCTTTTCTCTGTATAGTATTGCCACAATGAAAATAATTTTCAAAAAGGTTTTATATGAGGGCGTTCTAGGGTCCACGTAACAGTCGCCTAGTTTTTTTGTGTGCCACTTGTGTTTGCGTGGTCGAAAGACAATAACTCTTGACCTTCATCCGCTTTAAACCTAACTAATTAGTTCATAAAAGATTTTATGTGCATCACACTTGATGTTACAAAGGAAATTAAAAGAACATTCAATGAGCAGCGGTATTCATTGCCAATAAGCACCCATTCTGAACATTTAGTTTGCCAGCACGGTCAATGCACGTATGTTTTTTAAAACAGCGCATGATTACAGTCAAAAAGTCAGTAGTCTTCCTCGTAACCATGACAAGTATAGGATCGAATAAAAGCACACTGTAATAATGCTAGAAATACCCCAACGCCAGAGGTTAAGTAAAAATTTAAGAATCTCATCAATATTGAATCTGTACTATAAAAATTTTCATGAAACAAAATCACCAAAAGAAGTCTTTTTTATTGCTTTCAATTTAAAACTGAGTACGAAAAGATCACGATTGTTCTATAATTTAACGGCCGAGTAAAACAACCAATTTATGCTAATGCTCCGTTAAAGAAGATAAAGATTAAATGACTAGATCTACGTATCACGCGATTTCCGAAATTCAAAGAAAAATTCTCAATGGTAATGGGGTGCAAGTCAGTCCAGAATTCCTTTCAAAACTAAGAGTTTTCCTATGATTTCAATTTTATCATAGGGTGGCCAAACAAAATTAAGAAACTGAGAAATAGAGCTGATGAATACTACCTTCATTCAGATTCAGCTGACATATTTTGTCGAATGTAATTTGACAACATCTATCACGACACTCAGGGCACATGTGGTTGGGTTTTCACAAGTCTAGAGCCTGTCACAAAACAGGCAGCCACGTACTTGCTTTTTTACGCATATGTTTGTATTGTTATGGTAAAACGCGTGTGGAACACATCTCTTGTGTTACTTGAGAGCCAAAAATTAAGTTCTCAAGTTCTTAAGAGGATAATGGCCTTTCCTTGTTTTGGTTAAGATGAGATACTTGCTGGGAGCGCTTTTAAAGCTCCTCGTGTCCCTTTCAGATCACTAGAAGATTTCCTTCTGGACCGAGTAGCGACTAAAGACTACAGAACCACAACCTCTCTTCCCCAATCCCCAGCAGTATTTTTAAAATGAAGATCCAAGCTTTCGTGCTCGTCGCCGCTTTGTTGTTCTTTTCCGCTCTTATTCAGGATTGTGAAGGAATAGGGATATTTCCACCTGGGAAAGGAAAACGAGCGGTCCAAAGAAAAGTAAGTACTCCACCGTCAACAAAAAATTTTAATGGATAAAAGTCTGAACGAATGTGATGAAATATACCATACAAATTTGTCTTTAGAAGTGTGGGAAACTTTTAAATCCTCTCCATTATGTTAAAGGCACCGAAATGATCATCCCGAGCTGTAACATTTCGAAGATGGGCACGACGGGGGGCGAAAAGAAATCAATTTTACACACAAAATTTGAAGGTGTTTTTTGGGAGGGGAGGGGGAGGGAAGGGGATGACTGTGTTCACTGTCATAGTTGACCATATCGTAAAATAGGCAAACCAACCCCTAGAGCATCTTTAAAACATAAATGAACTTCTCGCTCTCTCAAGCTGACCTTACTATAGACGTTATCGTGGCTTTTATTTAGTTTCATGGACGGAACTTTGAGGAACTAAGGGATAACTGACTTTTTCAATAAGTGAAACATAACTGTACTTAGAGCGCGGCCTTATTTCTGTTTGTTCCTGTAGGTTCAAGTGACAGCACGGAGTATTTGTGAGGCAGCTAGAAGCTTGAACTGCGATGGGATGGATCTTGACGGCTGACTCAAGAAGAAATCTCTCTCAAGTCGCGAAATATTCCACTAATATAAGTAAAAGACGTGAACCTGACTCAGCAACAGAACACGTATGTTAAAAAGGAAAGTAAATTCATGGAATAAGGGAGCGGCAAATATATATATATATAAAAAACATTTATTCAGAGACTTGTGTTTGGTTCATATCATTGACTTGACACTAGCGCCATAAGAGTTCAATGAAAATAAGAATTCCACCTTTATTTGCCTTTCAACTAAAGCCCCTTACGATTTAAATAAGTTTTGACGATGAAGTGAAATAAGAACCTTTAACCATAGCTCCCTAATTTAATGGAACCAGAGACTTGCTATTCGTGAGACTTAAACCAATTTTTTTTTCATAGAAATCCGAGACCAACACAACTGAGAAAATTCATTAAACGATCATTGGAAAGTACTTCATATTCACGTCTTTATCCGTAGTTCAAATATATGACTTTCATATATTCACAGCCGTTTACTTGACAAGGACTTGACGGGCTATAACTGAAGACTATGATAAGACGTATAATGTATAGGAAGCGCAAATTTCCTACACAGATTGAGATTTCGAGACAACGTCTTCTGGCATTAAAAGCGAGATGAAGCTAAGCCCACTACCACGATTTACTTAAAGTTGAGAAGTGGAAGTAAACAGAAGATTAAGTTCAACTGTTCATCAGAGAAATTCAGTTCGTTGAATCACCCACCTCCATCCTTCAAATAGATTTGGTGCCTCCACTCCCCTTTTCAGAGATATAAACAATTAAACTGCGGACTCTTGCACTCAGGACTACGTCGGTAGGGTCTTAAAACCGATAGCACGGAGAGAAATTTCCAAGTAGAATGAAAGTGAGAGTAGCGTACATATTTTTCACACAAAGAGGACAAGGGAGCTCTCTCGTAATTCCGCCCTCCCAAGGGATAGTCAACAATTATGATCTGTCACTTCTCTACCAAGTTTTTAGAGTTTGTTAAGTTTGTGGTTTCGAAGAACACATTTCAATTGAATAAAATATTTCACATCTTCAGGCATGTGTGTCCTTCCATACACTTCCATTTAGATTTTTTATGTGTGGAGTTTCTTAAGACAATAAGTTTCTTCAAAAAAGCGCGATTTATTTTAAAGGTTAAGATACGATCCAAACAAATCACTTATTTTGAAATCGGAATTAGAGTTGCTTTTATGGCAGTAGCCACACCATAATATAAAAAGACGCGTATTGATAACGATTTGAGGATACAGTGATTATATAGAGATATAGACTATATAGACATGCCCTGAGGATAGATCTTGGTTTTGAAAAGCTCTTTATTCTCTGACAAAAATAACCTTTAACCATCTCCTTCATGGGTTTTTACTGGCCGAGTCGATACTCTTTCGGCGACTTTCCTCGTTGAACTTTCTTCCCCTTAGATGCCCTTAAAAAGGAATTTTCATTGTTAATATATTTAATGCTTATGATATCTTGAACTAACATAACTCATAAGAAAAGTTCTGGAAATTGTAATGGTGTATCATTCTTGAATTATGCCTTGGTATTATGTAAAAGTAATGCGAACGATAGATAATCGACGATTATTGCGAAAATCGCGAGTATTATCATTGTTACGTTCTAGCATTATTATTGTTTTTCATTCGTACGCACTGGGCGGTATATCGTTTCCCATCGGGATATCGCTGCGAAATCGAGGTATCTTGGAAAATGTGTTGCTTAAACCTTAGGTCTACTGATTAAGTTTGCAACCGACACATGAATTTGGTAATAAGCAGACTTCTTTACCGCTCTATCTCGGTGCTGTTTGCCTGTCTACACTCATCAGACTCCCATCAAGCCTGCATAGAAATCTAATATAGGGCAAAATCTTGGTAGATTAAAACGCTACATGCATTTCTTGTCTGTTTTGCTTTATATATCACAGTAATAACAAAGTAAATTATGTTCCCCCTTACCCTGATAGGACAACCGTACAACTCAGCACGCATGCTGATGTGGACTTGCCAAGTTAAAGGATGAATGCGGACGAACCGGGCATGGATTGGTGGGAAGGTCTGGTGGACAACAATGGTATTACGATCGAAATTTCCCCGAAAAACCTGAAGAAAATTAAGAATTTCAATTCAAAGTACCATATTCATGTAAGAGACCACTGAAAACTAACCTACAATAATTGTGTTTATTACAGGAAATAAATATGCATCATCAAGTCAGGTGTCAAGAAGATAGTAACCATTCTGAGTGGTGAAATTTCGGTTGCTTTCATACCAGTCGTGAGAGCAGTATCTATCTGAAAGAGAACTCTTTCATTTATTCTCAAAGTATTACCATTCGTCTTTACTAGAAAATCTGATTGATTTGAGAGGAGAAGGCTGAAAACAAAGCCTACTCTACAAATGATGATTAAGAATTTGAAGAAGAACCTCTTTGCTACATTTTAAAACTTGCAAGCTCGAAGATACCGGAATAACAGAAGTGTCTTTCTCACAGGAACACTGATACCAATATATTATCTAAAGCCACCTTTACGTGAGGTACAAGCCCTGGGAAATCTGTAATAGACCAGCGGTTATTCCAAAAAGCTACATGTAACAATTCACTGTCACTGAGTAAAAAGTAAGTTACCTTCTTTTTCCCTCGCACAGTGTACTGAACCCAGTAAGAGCCGGTCAAGCTGTAAGATAGTGAGTAGCTCGTTACCCATTGAGATGAGTCCTGCCTTCCTTGGGTGGCTACTTTAGTAACGGTCGTAAGGCTGCCAAGATCAACTTGTAACCATTGATTGACGTCATTCCTTTTAGCACACCAGGATCCCACTTTACCTGAACCAGCCGCAAGATTCAAACGGCCTAAACTAGCAGCGCAGGAACTGCTGTAAATAGTCGAGGCAGACATAGCACTGGCTGAAACTCGGCCATCTTCGAGTCCGAGAGAAAGGGAACAATGTGATCCTTAAAAAAAAAAAAAAAGGAATTGACTGTTTGCCCTGTTGCTTCGTTTCTTAATTTCAACTGCTTGTTAAGGTAGTTGTTACATGTTCGGCTTACCCAACTCTGGGTCTATTCAAGACAAGAATTTATTCATGGCAGCGGTTTTTTTTTTCTTAACAATATGTCAGCAAAAACTATAAATCCTTTGTACATATTTTGCACATCAGATACTAGTTTCCGTTTTCAATGCCCAGATTTTTGACACACATTTCTTATGTTTTAAATTATCAAGTGCATTGATTTAACTCTTAGTCCTAGAGTAAACTCCGCATTGTTATTACTCGACGCGGCGTTTTATCGAAGACGGCGTTAAATCCGATGAAGACGTTATTGCTTTAGATGGTGATGGAAAAACACAAACTCAGCTTTAGGGTGTTCTTTTAATGGAACACGAAATGCTTTTACCTTTTCCACAGAAAGAGGAAAGGCATAGTTGCTGGGAGGGAGAACTGTTAATCAGGTGCAAGGAGTAATTGAGTTCATTTACTGCTATTGACAAGTTACCTGCTGATTGCAAATTAGATGGAGAAGATCCATGTTGTGAGACACATATTTAAAAGTCAATGAAAATCATTTAATATGTTCTACGGAAGATTTAAAGACAGGTCTCTGAAAACATATCTTTGCTCGATACAATAGATCTTTCGTATTTCGATATCAGTCTGATTTCTTCCATTTTACAGTAAAAAAAGTCTTAGCTTAATGATTTTTTTACAGTCAAAATTACCTTCTTGGCAGCCATAGACCTCTGCTCTGGTACAGATGTGACCATACCATGACTTGGGGTGGAATCGAAGATATTTGGCTTGAATCGGCAAATGAAGGGGATGATAAACTGGAGTGTTGCGGTCGATGTTACCACCAAACACCTGCCATGTATGATAATATATAAACTAGTAAATGTCAGTTCCCGTCTTTCTTACAAACAAACAGGCAAACAAAAGAAACCGTTTTACTTATTTTCGGTTTTCTATAACTTTCTCTCGGCGCAAACACGGATTTGGATTTAAGGCTACCATGTTCACGATGGATGACAGTCCTCGATAATTTTCATAGACTTACAATTACTGCATATAAACTTTGTCCGTTAAACCAATTTCTCTTACCTTGATATGTCCATCCGAAAGTCTGTACCACGCCCAGTGAGAGCCGTCCACACTATACGACAAACTGTAGCTCGTCAACCTGTGATCGCTGTCATACCTCCCCTGAGTAGCCACTTTTGTAACAGATGTTTCACGCTCAAAGTTGACCTGCAGCCATTCGTTACCATTGTTTGTACGTGTGCACCAGGCCCCCGCCTTGCCTGAACTAGGGATCTTATTGAGTCTCGAGAACTGCGGGATGTGATTAGAGCTATAATACGTCGATGCCGATATTGCGTTGTTGGGAAGATGGCCACTCTCCATACCAAGAGGAAGGAAGCAACTGCGACCTATTTAATCATATCAATCAGTGTTTTAAAAACATTCCAACACATTAAATGCAGGATTTTATGATTTTATGAAATCGTCGAGCTAATCCAAACAGCGAAAGCTAAAACAAATACATGCTTTCTTTTACTCAAACGATTTACCTTGAAAGCAATACTCTCAGCAAAATTAGGCAAGTATTTGAATAGCAATATAAATCTAGAAGAGGCATACACCACACTTGATCTCTACCTCCAATATATCAAAGCTATCGTTTGCATTATAAGAGTTTCTTAATCTTTCCTTTATTTTAATCCGGGCTCAAACCTTGCAGGAGTTGTTTGGCATATTGACCCTATATCATCGGATCAAACTTCCATAGTAGTGCAAAAAAATCTATAGAATTCTGCAGTATGTAGTCATGTATACTATGGTAAGATCCGTTTTCGAATTTCCTTTTCAGGCTTTAAAAGAACAAAATAAGTTTATTCAAATTACTAAATGATTTATACAGTAATGATCAGAGTATTTAAGTATAATGCTGCGAAATTCTAGGCTGTTGTTAAGCCCTACTAATTACTCTTCTAACCCACCAAAGTCACAAAAAGAACGAGTGAAGAAGTGATCCTCGCACGCAGATTCATTTCACTTTAATTTCTCTCCTAGATCTATGTCTAATTTATTTCTTTACAACTGATTGTAAAAGTCGCAAAATAGCTGACAGGAGATGAACATGGGCTTCCCGTCCGAACATCTCTTATTTTGGATCTCACTTTTGTTACCACACGAGAAAAGGTCGCATCGTGGACAATTTTTTTAGTTAATTTATTCATGATTTGTTGGTAGTCGATGAAATCGAAAATCTTTCTGCGTTAATTTTAACGCAAACAAATTATCCCTTGCGTGCCATAACAGCTTATAAAAACTACCACAACACTCAGAAAGGGAACTTTTCTCTAGCACCTGATCATTTTCGAGGCAGGAAATTGATTTGTCAACTTGAAATAAAATGATGCCTAAAATCACTTACTTACCTTCTTTGCAACCATAAATCTCCACTCGCATGGAGATGTGGCTTTGCCAACCTTTCGGATGGAAACGAACGCTTCTGGCAAACACTCTGATATGCGGGCTGAAGACATGTTTGACAACTGTTGTCCTGTCGCTGTTTGCCAGGAATGTCTACAAATAAAGGTGATAAGTTTGATAACGTAGTCATTCCGAGCAGGCGGCACTCGATCTAAGTTCATGACACGATTATGAAAACAAAACTGGTTTATAATCCAGTTAACTGCAGGAAAAAAACGAACACATTATTTACTGGTCTAAGTCGGGCTAAAATCGTGCTTTAGTTCTGAAGTCCTCAGGCTATAATCGTAACCTCGGGTAAGGTTTTCCTTATGTAGACCTTCCGCTTAATAATAAACAAACACCTCGCATGGCCGTGCACACATAGCATGAGGCGTGCAGTTGCATTATTGCCACGAAGTCTCTGTCGATTTTAACTACGAGGTATCATTGGTCTACTTCCCGACGGGCAATTTTTCCCGATGTGTATCTTTGGGTTTCTTTTTCTTCCCGCTAAAAATACATACAATGTAGCAGGTATATTTTAAGAGTTCAATACATGTTTTAATTGTATGCATCGTCAAATTTAGCTTGAAGAGTGGCTATATTTTGAGCTATTTAAGAGATGTTGTGATGTTGAAGATTTACTTTTTAACGAAAATATATTGTACAAAAAAAATATCAATAATGATAACGATAATAATGATAATCATAATTTAGTGTAAGAATTAAGCAAAAAAGTCTAAGTGTGAACAAAATCAAGCAGTGACACATAATTGAGCACATAATCTAAATTTCTAAATATGAGGGTCCAACGGAAGCCAATGTTAACACAACTTGACGTGGAAGGGTTAATTGAATATTAGGGTAAAATTAAAAAGGAGATACAAGACCAAATTAGAAGACCTAATTATCTGTTTTTTCTGATTACCTTCACTTGGCTGTTTTCCTTGATAAAAACCCACATAAAGTCATCTGCAGTGTAGGACAATGAGAAGCTTGTCACCCACTGATTGGAATCGTGTCGACCCTGAGTGGCCACGCCTCGTACGTTGAACAGACGTCCAAGATTTACCTAAAAGATGCAGAAGCATTTCCATCAAAAACGCTTCTTTATCACTGACTCCGAAAATCTGAGCCGATATCGTGTATGGAGTAGTATTAAAGTCTACGCCATGTGAATCCCATGTTGAAATACCACGAAGCATGGTACAGGTACGCTCGTATGTTACTTTTTTTAATTCAACTCTTATGTAACTGATGTGTGTAATTCTATATCGTTCTGAAAGCAATTTGCATAGGTAATTGCATGATTTCGAATGCAACTTAGGATAAATCAGCATGAGTAAATTTTTCAAAGGCTAACCAAATTTCCCAAACCCGTACGGCGAGTGCAATTTAGATACTTTGAGAGATTTATTCCCTGCAT